GCCGAATGATGAAGAATATTGAGACCGACTCGCTGTTTAATCCCCGTAAGCAGAAGGCAGTGGGCGACTCCGCGGTGCGTTTGATCACCTTTGTTTTACCTGTGTATGTTTTAGCCTTTGATCTCGTCACCCACTGTTATCTTCCAGACTCTTTGTGTTATACGTTTTGTCTCTGCTGAACACTGATTGTTGCTCCCTCCCATCCTGTTGCGTATAAAAGATTTTTCGGTGGTTCGGGGTCAGCGTACCTTCCCGTGCCCACTCTCCAAAGTTTGAACACACACGTTAAATATTAAAACTGTGCGTGCGTCAACAATCGAAAAACGCTAAATTCTGCTTTTTAGCTAACAGAAGATGAGAACTGCTGTTCATACTCTGAGACGTTTGAGTTTTAACACTTTAGTTTGGATCCAAATGAACACAAATAACCAACAGCTCGGTGGAGTTTAATGGCTTCATCTGCTTGTGAGAGAGAGCATCTGATTGGCTAAAATCAGTGTTGCTGATGACCGTGTCCACAGCATTGCACAGGTGAGTTTCTGCAGGTAGCACCCCAGCTGTGGATCAGAACCTCAAAGTGTAGCTGTCATTTGTTTTAAACATCTGAGACCAACTGTGTTTTTTAATGTGCACCATCAAATCATATGTGTGCATTTCATATTGATCAGTCGTTTAATAAAAGCACTCTTGGCATGTCGCCGTGTCGTCATGCAGCCTAAATGTGCAGCAATGTTATTTGTGTAGCTCTAAAAGCATAATGCGGCGTCGCATTAGAAAGAAGCAATCACAGCTGTTCTGGCGTTTTTGTAAGAGACTGATGACTGAGATGCTTTTCTCTTGTTCCACAGACATTCCTGACTAAATCCTGATCTGTGCTGTATTACTGAAGGAAAATCAGAGACAGCTGCATTCACGTTAAGCTGTTTTAATGCTTATGGATCAATAATAAGCACATTTAAGCCGGGTTTTTATGTCTTACAGCTAAGTTTAAGTATAAATCTTACAAACAGACCTGAACAAGAGCCACCTGGGGGCTTGGACCCTCCAAACAAACTGCGCACACCTTTTTTGTTTCTAACATGACACGGTCTCACAGCTGCACATGCTCAAATAAAACACCTGCTGCCGGGGACCAATCACAGAGCTCGAATTAAGCACACACAGACCTGCAGGGAGAGGCGCGTGGAGGCATCCAGGGGTTCAAACCTCCACCCTCCTTCTCCATCGAACTGCAGCAGGTGAGAGTGGTACTTCCTGTGAGACAGAGGAGGAGAAGATTAGTTGGAGGGTGTGGCAGCCGGCAGCAGCTCAGAGCTATGCTGCCCCCTGCAGGCTGAAAATAAAATTAAATAAAACCTGAGTTCACTCCTGATCTTTGAGGCAAACTGAGTCACGTAGTTTTATCTGCAGTTTTGGCATCTCGAGTTTCACTAGACAGACTCAGCTGGCATCTGATCTTTTAGACTATCACACTTTCATTTTGCCACCACGTTTGTTTCTTTAGCGTCTTGAATGCATGAGACATGAGAAATAATCCACAAAATTCAAATAAACGTGTAACAGGTGACGTCTCAGTTATAACACTCTCAAAATGTAAGAGCAGTCACAGATATGATCGTCTTCAGACTGCAATAAAAAACATCCGGCCACATTTTAAGAGTTGCCCTCTTTTTCATGAGCACTCACAGTGTAACTGTTGTCTTTGGACTCACATGATGCTGGAAGCTTCCCACATGACTAATGACACCTTTTTACTTTTAGTACTAGCAGCAGTACCCCTCAGCCTCCAAGCAGATTACTAGTGGTAAAAAACTCCTTCAAGATTTTTGGAAAACATCCACATGATGTTGGACACGTGGCAGGTTTTAGAGATATTTCTGC